CCAGTTATCACATGTCTATAAGCCCTTCTAACCTTCCCTCGACAGAGAAAGACACCCACTTTGTTCATGTTTCCTCTTGAAGGACTGCCCACTAAGTCCATGATCACTGCCAGTAACTACTCCACCATCCAATGTTAACCCATAGGCACAAACCTTGATGACCCTTGTTTTCTGATGCCAACTATCCAACTGCTGTAACTGCTTCTTCATCTTTCTCCAGCACTTCACATAAACTTGCCACTACCTTTGATAGAGGAAAACATTTTACAAAGGCCCATAATTGCTTGTAACCTCCTTTGCTTCTTTAAACTCTTTTCTTTGACCCAACTCCACTTTTAAACCTTCAGCTACATCATCACACAATTTCCCTTCAATTAATGAGCATGATCGACAGAGGAAAGCTTTCCAATTCACAAATATGGTTCCCTAAAAATCAGTCCACCAAGCCAATTAACCAATTGATAACTAGCTCATGACCCTCTCGGCCAATTGATGCACAAGATCAAGTCCTTCACACCACGTAGCCCCTTGACTGCTGAAAGACTTCATTTTGACTTCACTGCCACATGTCATAAGCAACTTTTTATTCCTTGTCAACAGAAGCCTGTTATTTGGCGACTAAACTTCCTTTTGTTGGCCTGTAATTGTACACGATGACTAAAACAAGAATTAGTAGCCAAAAATCTAGACTTACACCAATTGAATTTTTTTTAGTCGCCTATTTACATCATATTTAGCGACTAAATTATTTTTCAGTTGCCAATAAATAATATATATCGTCTAAAATAATATAGTAGCTAAACCTTGAGCCAACGCCAACTAATAAATTTTTTAGTCGCAAAAAATGTAACTTTTGGCAACTAAATTCCTTTTGGTCACCAAAAGTGTAATTTGTTGTAGTGACTTGCACATTTTTCTATTGTTAAAAATTTTGAGAAACAAACTTACGCGTCATTTTGTGTAAACTACCTTGAGTTTTGTGATACAACTTGCATGACTTTGTGAAAATTATGCAATTTTAAGAAATAAAAATGTTCTCCGAAGATTTACACGTATTTGTGATCACTTATGTATTTTTTGAAAAATTACTTACGTAAGTTGTGAAATCATTTACGCCTTTTATGAAAACTTACTCTCTTTGTGAAAACTTACGGCTTTTTATGAAAACTTACGCTTCTTTGTGAAAAATACTTACACCTTTTGTGAAAACTTATGCCTCTGTGTGAAAAATAATTACACCTTTTGTGAAAACTTACGCCTCTTTGTAAAAAATACATCACTTACTCTCTTTGTGAAAACGTACGTCTTTTTGTGAAACTTACGCTTCTTTGTGAAAAATACTTACACCTTTTATGAAAACTTGCATATTTTTGTGAAATCACTTACTCTTTTTGTGAAATCACTTACTCTCTTTGTAAAAACTTACGCTTTTTCGTGAAAGTTACCCCATTTTGTGAAAAATACTTACACCTTTTGTGAGAACTCATGTTTTTTTGTGAAATCACTTACTCTTTTTGTGGAAAAATACTTACACTTTTTGTGAAAACTCACACCACTTTGTGAAAAATACATCGTTTACTCTCTTTGTGAAAACTCATGTCTTGTTGTGAAAACTTACGCCTCTTTGTGAAAAATACTTACACCTTTTGTGAAAACTTATGCCTTTTTGTGAAAAATACTAACACCTTTTGTGAAAACTTATGCCTTTTTGTGAAAAATACTAACACCTTTTGTGAAAACTTATGCCTTTTTGTGAAAAATACTAACACCTTTTGTGAAAACTTATGCCTTTTTGTGAAAAATACTAACACCTTTTGTGAAAACTTATGCCTTTTTGTGAAAAATACTAACACCTTTTGTGAAAACTTATGCCTTTTAGTGAAATCACTTATTTTTTTTGTGAAATCACTTACTCTCTTTGTAAAAACTTACGCTTTTTCGTGAAAGTTACCCCATTTTGTGAAAAATACTTACACCTTTTGTGAGAACTCATGTTTTTTTGTGAAATCACTTACTCTTTTTGTGGAAAGATACTTACACTTTTTGTGAAAACTTATGCCTTTTAGTGAAATCACTTATTTTTTTTGTGAAATCACTTACTCTCTTTGTGACAACTTATGCCTCTTTGTGAAAAATACTTATACCTTTTGTGAAAATGTATGCCTTTTGTGAAAAATACTTACACTTTTTGTGAAAACTTATGCCTTTTTGTGAAATCACTTACTCTCTTTGTGAAAACTTACGCCTCTTTGTGAAAAATACGTACACCTATTGTGAAAACTTACGCCTCTTTGTGAAAAATACATCATTTACTCTCTTTGTGAAAACTTACATCTTTTTGTGAAAGCTTACGTCTCTTTGTGAAAAATACTTACACCTTTTGTGAAAACGTACGACTCATTGTGAAAAATACTTACACATTTTGTGAAAATTTAAGCTTTTTTGTGAAAACCTATACCACTTTTTAAAAACGCTTACACCTTTGGTGAAAACTTACTTTACGCCTTTTTGTAAAAACTTACGCCTCTTTGTGAAAAATACATCACTTACTCTCTTTGTGAAAACTTATGCCTTTCTGCGAAAACTTACACCTCTTTGTGAACAATATTTACACATTTTGTGAAAACTTACGCCTTTTTGTGAAGTCACTTACTCTTTTTGTGAAAACTTACGCCATTTTGTAAAATCACTTACTCGTTTTGTGAAAATTTACACCTTTTTGTGAAAAACACTTACACCTTTTGTGAAACTTATGCCTTTTTGTGAAATCACTTACTCTTTTTGTGAAAGCTTACTTTTTTTGGTGAAAAATACTTGCACATTTTGTGAAAACTTACGTTTTTTTGTAAAATCACTTACTCTTTTTGTGAAAACTTATGCCTTTTTGTGAAAAATACTTACATCTTTTGTAAAAACTTACGTTTTTTTGTGAAAAATACACCACTTACTCTCTTTGTGAAAACTTACGTCTTCTTGTAAAAACTTACGCCTCCTTGTGCAAAATACTTATACCTTTTGTAAAAACTTACACCTTTTGTGAAAACTTACGCTTTTTATGAAAAATACTTACACCTTTTGTGAAATCACTTACTCTTTTTGTGAAAACTTATGCCTAGATATGAAAAACACTTACACCTTTTGTGAAACTTACGCCTTTTTGTAAAATCACTTACTCTCTTTATGAAAACTTACGCCTTTTTGTGAAAGCTTGCGCCTCTTTGTGAAAAATACTTAAGTCTTTTTGTGAAAACTTGAGACTTTTTGTGAAAACTTATGCCTCATTTTTAAATTACTTACATCTTTTATGAAAACTTACGCCTTTTTGTGAAAACTTACGCCTCTTTGTGAAAAATACATCATTTACTTTCTTTGTGAAAATTTATGCCTTTTCTGTGAAAACGTACCCCTCTTTGTGGACAATACTTACACCTTTTGTGAAAACTTACGCCTTTTTGTGAAATCACTAACTCTGTTTGTGAAAACTTACGTTTTTTTATGAAATCACTTACTCGTTTTGTGAACACTTACGACTTTTTGTGAAAACTTACTCCTTTTTGCGAAAAATACTTACACCTTTTGTGAAAACTTTCACTTTTTTGTGAAAAATACATCACCTATTCTTTTGTGAAAACTTACGTCTCTTTGTGAAAGCTTATGCCTCTTCGTGCAAAATACTTTACACCTTTTGTGAAACTGACGCTTTTTTGTGAAATCACTTACTCTTTTTGTGAAATCATTTACTCTCTTTGTGAAACTTACACTTTTTGTGAAAACTTACGCATCTTTGTGAAAAATGCTTACACTTTCTGTGAAAACTTATGCCGTTTTGTGAAAAGTTATGCCTCTTTGTGAAAAATACAGTACTTATTCTCTTTGTGAAAAATACTTACAGTTTTTATGAAAACTTATACTTTTTTGTGACATCACTTATTCTTTTTGTGAAATCAATTACTCTCTTTGTGAAAATTTACGCTTTTTTGTGAAAAATACTTGCACCTTTTTTTAAACTTACCCATTTTTGTGAAATCACTTACTTTCTTTGTGAAAATTACCCTTTTTTGTGAAAAATAGTTACACCTTTTGTAAAAACTTATCCATTTTTGTAGAATCACTTACTTTCTTTGTGAAAATGTACACCCCTTTGTGAAAAACACTTACACCTTTTGTGAAAACTAACACCTTGTGAAATCACTTACTCTCTTTGTAAAAATTTACGCCTTTTGTGACAAAACTTACACGTATATAATATCATATATTATTTTATTAATTTTACCTGTAAGGTAATCAATATATAAAGTTGAACAAAAATTTGTATAACTAATAACACAAATTTATATAACCAAAAACATAAAAGGATATAAGTATCTAGTATATTGTATGCAAGACACACTTAAGAAAGATCCTTCAGGGAAACAAACACTGGAAACAGATAAGGAAAAAAAGGAAAAACATTGGTACACATCCCTTGAAGAATGTGTGTCATAAGCATCTTATAACTATAGATAAAAATAACTTAATTTTATATTTTCTGAGTCATAACTAAAAGAAAAAAAAAATCATAACCAAATATTTCAAAATAATATCATAATTAATAAAAAAAAATGAGTCATAACTAAAAAAAAAAATAACGTAACCAAAGATACATATGGTATAAAGTGCGTAATAAAATTTTCCAGGAAAAACACACGTACCGCATATTTATCTTCTTCCTTGTGAGCAAATAAATATGATTAGTTTAGGCAAATAAAGGAAATATTCTTATTACTTTCGAGCTATTAAATAATAAAAATAATTTCCTTGAACATTCTGGACAAATATTTTACCCAGCCAAATGCATATGAAAAAGATAATTTTTGTTTTCATTTTCCTATCATTTTAAATTTATTTTATTTTTAACCAAACCAAGCTTAACGCAAGGTGTCATTGACAAATTAAGATATGAACTGGTAAAAAACAAGTTGACCAAACATCAGAAACAGAAGGACTACGACAAAGACAGATGCACAACTATAACCATCAGTAATCCACCATCATCTATGTCAAGACTAATAAACATACAACCAGTCATACATAAGAATCTGTAAGCAGAGATCAAAGGGACAAATGGTAAAAGAGAGGAACTTGTTGCCAGTGCTCAACCAGCAACATCAATAAACATCATCCATCAAACATAACTACTAAACTACAATGTCTAGTAACATAATATAGATATAAAAATAAAATAAAATAAATAAGCAACAGATAATAAAAGATACGAAGTATGCAGCAAATAACTTCAAACATTTCTTGCAAGAAAATGACCAAATGAGCCTGCCAGATGTTCTTGCATTTGTGGTCCATGCAGAAAAGAATATCCATCCTTTTCTGATCATGAAAGTTCCTGAAAATAGTGACAGACATCATAAATCCATTACAAGGAAAATTGATTTTCCATTTAATTCTCTCCAAAATGGGTCTGGCAAATGCAAACCCGTGGCACCAGCTATACTTCAGAAGTACCTATGCTCCCCCCACCTAATCTTGCAATTTACATGGCACTCTGCAACATCAATACCAAAAAATGTTATATGCAATGGCATCTAAACAAGGCAAGTCCAAGCAACTAGAATCAAGAACAGTAAATAAAAAGTAAAAAGTCTACACCACATGCGAAGTAACACAAAATTAGACATTGAAAATACTCACAGACAACTAGAATCAAGAAAAGTAAACAAAAAGTAAAAGGTCTACACCACATGCAAAGTAACACAAAATCAGACATTGAAAATACTTATACACCACATTAATATCATAATCAAACATCCTCTTTCCTGAGATCTGGAACTGATAGAAAAGAAAATTGCTGTAATCCAGCCACCAACTAAATCCTAAAGCCATTTGTGGCATTAACAATCTGTACTCTCGGTGTCTTTACTTGTAGTATAAGCTTAGAAAATGATGCAAAAGAAATCTGACAATTACTAGAAAGCATAGTTATCCAAACAAACAAATTGTTTGAATATTAAATCTTCCTAATTTGATTAAATTATTTCCATATTTAATCAAATCCACATTCAACACACTTGTTTCTCTTTTAGTCAAATCAAACATCCTACTTTCTGCATGAGAAATGGATTGAAAAGAAAAGAAAGCAAAATTGTTGTAACAGAGCCACCAACTGAAGAATAAATGACTCAAGAAACATTAGAAATTGACATCAGCAAATCCCGTATAAATAAAATAAAATAAAAAATCAAGTTAAACTTGAAAAAATAACAGCTATCAATCATATAAACCAAGATTTACTAGCTAGAACAAACTGCATTACAAATAGTGATCTAATTTATTAATAGAGAGCACCAGACCTCACAAGGAGTCAATAATTGGATAATATAATCATAGACAACATTAGAATAAGAAAGACATCAAGAGAGGCTTCTATTTGCACACCCCCAAAAAGACCTGAGTTGTTTTTTTTTTGTTCAAGCAAGGAATGGACAAGGGACAATATTACTCTCCATCCCACTTGTTTGTCCATTTTGGAAATTCTAACTTTTTGAAAGGAAATGCAAAAAAATGCATTGGAATTCAAATTCAAAGGTACTATTTCCAACAAGTGCCCCTTTATTTCCCACTTTCAAATATACAAATAACTATTTATAAGGGATAATTTCGAAACTTACAAACTTTATGCTTTGACTTTTCAAAGTTGACAATCTTTTGGGACATCCCAAAATGAAAAGATGGACAAACAAAATGGGATGGAGGGGTACAAGACTGTACTTGTAAAACAACGCCACACCTGTGTTGAATAGGGCTTGGTTTCAAAAGCTCTCAAAGATGATGGCTTGTGGCTTAATTAACCAACTATTTGTGACAAACCTAACTCATTTTTCACTGGACCCTTTATGCAAACCCTACCAATTTGATACCTATGAGCTATGACCCAAAAATGACTAGACAACTCTAATAATAATACAATATATCAGATGCACTGCAACAATGCTATATGGAGTAGTTTATTACAGACATTTTTAGAACCTAATGCTGTGTTTAAAATTTTGGATTTGTCAAGGGAAAAGAAAATGAAAGGGTAGTGGAATTACATATACATTGATAAGGCAACCAAGAAAGAAAACTAATACATACCTATACATTGGTAAGAAAAACTAATACATACCTCATTTTCTCATCCAAAGCATCACTTGGATATCTTAAAACTATATGGTCAATCTTGGCAAGGTTCTTATAAAAGAAAATCATTTAATGGGACCCATCTTGGTTTGCAAATTAAGTTTCAGCAGTCATCTAATTAAAAAAATATATAAATAAAACGAAAAAAAAAAAACATTATTGTTGTTCGCCCTAAGATGTGTGAAGATTTTAGTCTATTTGAGAGGTGAAAATTTGACTGCCTATTAAGTAAATGACAATGAAACCAATGAAACTACCGTTTAACTTTTGTAGTATGCATTTTTGGTTAATGGTCAATTACGTTTAGAATATATATCATTTGATGGTCAATCAAGTGTATGGAAAAAATTTCTCTTCGGATCCTACATATTTTGATCAATAGATGAGAGATATACCCAATCAAAACTGGGAGAGGGAGGACATTTTATTTTCACTGGCTAAGAAAATTGGTTAGGTTGTAGTTGTTGTTACTCCTCAATGGTTCATTGGTGGTGCTATAAATCTGCAGGCCTAATGATGTTAAGATACTTTTTGAGTTGGTTGCTGTCTGATGGAGTTTTGAGAAAACTATAAATTCTTCTTCTATTCAATTACATGATGTTTCCAATTTAGCACTGCTAGTTGATTGAGCTTCTATTATTAATTCTAACCATTGTCATTGCTATTCCTCGAATGGCTTTCACTGGTGCTATAAATCTGCAGGTCTGATGCTGGGATATTTTCAAAGTTGATTGTTGTCGGACGGAGTCACCATTGCTTCTTGCCTGGGGCTTTTGAGATAGTGATGATGGATACTTGGACCGGAAAATCTGTTTCGTTTTATAGCCATATTTATGGTTGTGTAGGGCATTTGACGCATTGGTGTGTGATTATGTTAGTAACATCTACCCTAATTACCTTGACCCTCTTTGTGGTTGTTGAGGAATTCATTTATTGTATTAGATTATGTTCAAAGGCCTAAGTGGGATACCTTTAGATGGTCAGTGTCTCACTTTCTCAATGTATGACCTCGTTCTGCTGTTATGGGAGCATGCACTCCTTTACTGTCTACTTCCAATCTTCACAAAAGGACTTTTGTTGGGTATGAGAAACTAAAATTGATACCGCTTAAGGAATTCTAAAATGGTCAACCATTATCTGTAGTGCCATAATGCCATTTGTGGCATTAACAATCTGTCCACTTGGTGTCATTACTTGCGGTTATAAGTTTAACAGACAATGCCAAAGAAAATTTTGACAATTTCTAAATGTGCAATTAAGATGCATAATTATCCAAATTAACAAAACTATTTGAATATTAAATCTTCCTATGTTGATTAAATTATTTCCTTACTAAATCAAATCCACATGCAACACGTGTTTCTATACTAGTCATAATCAAAAATCCTATTTACCGCATGAGAAATGGATCGAATAAAAAGTTTTGTTGTGACCCAGCCAGCCACCAACTAAAGCCTAAAGGTATAATAAAAAAAGTGACGTCTAAAAATCCTGTAAACCAAAAAAGGTCAAGTTCATTTGAAAAAATAACAGCTATCAATCATATAAACCAATATTTACTAGCTAGAACAAACTACAAACCGCGTTACAAATAGCAATCTAATATAAATTTGTCCTAGCTCATCTCAATACAAAAGAAAACTTTAACTAGAATTGTATGACGGGTATTAATGTCTTGCTAGAGAGTTAATCTTGGTCAATTTATACAAACAAACTATATGACTGCCTCAAAAAAAGTTTAAAAAAAAAAGAAAAAAAAGCAAGGCTATAAAGTAACCTCCTTGATTCATATTAGTATGAATACCTCTGCTATATTCCTGCTTTGGTTTCACTGCTCTAGTGATGTAAAAGATTCAATTGGATTGTTATTTATAGGTGACATATAGCCTTATCCATTTGAAATCCAGTTAATTGAGCAGACTATATTGAGCCACAAAAAAACAGGATGCTCAAGCTCGGCTCACTTACCAAACGAACAGTGATTTTAAGCTTAAAATGGACTCATTTTACCTTCAAATCAAGCTTGAACAAATCCTAAATGAGCCAAGCTCACGCTTATCTCGAGCTGTTCGGCTCCCCTAGGTATTACTTTGCTTATTATTACAAAAAAACATTGCAAGTCAAAATAGCCATAGATTTTTTAACACTGCAAGTATATCTAGCCTTAAATTTTTTAAGGCTACAAAAACAACATGAATTTGTCATGGTGGCCAATAATTTTCTTGTTTATCCAGGAAGAAATAATACTTGTGCATAAAATTGGAGGTCTAGATAGGGAATAGGCCATATAAATATAAATAAAAAACACCTATTACCATCTATTCAGGCAGGGAACATGTTCAGAAATAATGAACTGGAACTTATAGTGAACAAAAATATGATTTTCTCCATCTTGGTCACAACTGCAGGCACTAGGCAGCACATGTTTAATTGCATGTCTCAACCCTTATACCACACCCAATACTGCGTCTCAGAGTCTAGAGGATAATGCCAACCTAAGTTCTATTGTTTGATCATACAAATCAAGAGTAGCACCATTATAGTGGTCGCAATATCTGAAATCCTCTTCACATATGCCTACTACAAGTGTGTCTCAAAGTATAGTTGAACCTTAACAAATATATAAAAGTAAACAAAAATCATTTTTTTTCCTCTATGAAGGAAAAAGCATATAAGGGAGCAAATTGTGCATGTTAAACAAGAATGGAGTTAAAAAGAAGCAAAAGGGGCTTACAGTGGAAATTAAGAAGCAGCCTAGAAGAAAACCAATATCAACAATGGCGCCACATTTGCTTCTGGCAACAAATTCTGCGGTGCGCAACAATTTTGACTGGACGAAAGTTTTGTCTCCTTCATTAGAAGATTCAGTATAGGTTTCCCTGAGAACCTCAAAGGTAATGATGCTAATTTTACGCCTTTCAGTATCTTCATAGTATAAGTGGTCAGGGATTTTAGGGTCCGGAAGGCTGCCAGTCGAGACATAATAGAAAATCCGATTTCCCAAATGAACTAGGTAAGCCGAAGGACATGTTACTTGAAGATTATGCTCAATAGCATCACCTACATCTGAGGACAACAGTGCCATACGGTCGAACAATCCTTTAGCTTTAGCCTCTGGCTCGGACTCTGAGGTCGGTCCAAATGCAGCGACGGTGTAATTGTAAATGGAATAGAGGGTATCCTCTACAAACACAGCGCTCCTGTCAAAATAAGACAGGACCCGACGGTACTTTGAGAACCGAACCCATACACATGTGTCCACGTTAAAAGAGAAGATTTCATTTTCCAAGGTTAATATGAAGACCCTTCTGTCAACCAGAGCATGACCAATGAGTTTCTTGTTCGTAGGGGGGTCAGGGAGGATTGACCACTTATTAGAGTCCAAATCAAAGACTTCAAATCGTGATAGATTCATCGATTTGTAATCGAACCGCATACCAGTTGCAATGGCGTAGATCTTCTTGTGAGCCACAAATGCATAAGGATTCGGCTTCCCACAAATCATCGCAGTACCCTTCCTCAACAACTCAGATGGACGGTTACTGGTAACGATAGTGTTGGTGGAGATGGTGGTGGTATCGAGAACATGGACATCCGGCGGGTAAGTGTCATTGAGATCCCAATCCTTCCCTTTTGATCTCTGTCTCTCGGCACGACAACTGAGTCGGCCCCCAAAAAAGTACAACTTCATGTCTAATTCAACGCAACACATAAATTCTGGGTATTCTCCAAATGGAAATTCAAGGATGGGATAAATAGTCTTCTCCAATTCTCTGAACTGATTGCAAGGTTGTAATGGAGGAAGAGGAAGAACAGGATTAGGCATATTGATGGCATACAGACAATAATTAATTGGACCCGATGAGTATATGAAGAACATGTACAGAGCCTTTGTATCTTCCACTGCTGCAATTGTTGCCTCTGATGATATTGGTAATGGTGCTATTGGGGGTCTAGATGAGGAGGCTACTGGGGACCATGACCGAGACCGCGATCGTCGACCGCCCGATGGTGATGATGATGCGGATCGTGGAGACCATGACCGTTGCCGCCGTTGCAATGATGATGATGACTGTCGGAATCTTGAACGTGATCGACGCAATGGTGCTGAAGACGATGATGGTGGACTTCCCGAACCTGTTGTTCTCGTCATCAATGTCTCCCTGTAGGATGCAGCGTCTTCACCTCCCTCCTAAGCTGCCCCACAGAGTGAGCTTCAACAACCTAGTAGTTGTCAAAAAAACAAAAACCAAAAAAATTGCAAACATTAGTGTCTACTAGGGCTGGGCAACAAACCCACCCGCCCGCACGAACCACCCGACCCTACCCTAACCGCAGTGTTTTGGGCAGTTTCGATGTAGGTAGGCGGGCGGGTGCGGGCCAAGAAATTGGCAAAAGATAGGGTTCGGGTCGAACCCGACCCGCCCGCAACCCGCAGTTTTTTTTTTTTTTTTTTAAAGAAAAAATAACTAGTTATTATTATTATTTTTTACATTTTGGATGGATGGAGATAACTAGTTATTATTTTTATTTTTACATTTTAGATGAAAGTAAAATTTATTATATGGGCACTTATATACATTATCATGATCTAATGATATTTAAATTAGTGTTACTAGTTTGACTTTTAAGGGTTTGTTTTTGCAAGCTAAGGAGGAAGATTAATTACTATCCTCAAACATGGTTCAATAAAGGAACACAAGAGCATGCTATTATTTTTAAAAATAAAAATTCCAGATGCTTCTATAAAAAAATAAAATAAAAAAAATGTTATTAAGGACTTGAAAATTGGTTAGAACTTTATGGCAACAAACCAATGGGGAGAGGTTGTTCCAAAATATCTAATTGTGGTACTATGAGAAGGTTTGATGTTGAGAGCTCTCTCTCTACTACACTTGAATGTTCTAGAAGTAAATTCCTCATCACTCATTTTAACTACACAAATTTCACCATTTACCAACCACTCATTTTACCTACTCAAACTTCACCATTTACCAACCACTAATTTTACCTAAGTCAATGTATGGTTGAAGTTTGGTGTGTACTAGTATAAATAGGAGACATTTGGATCTCCATTATGTGTGTAAGGAAGAGGCAAAGTCCAAGTGTGAGTGCTTGAATGTCTTGTATGATTATATAAAGTGTGGTGTCCTAGTGTATTTGTTGTATAGTATAAGTTTTGAGTATGAGTGAATAAATGAAGAATATTAGTGTGTGGTTGTGTACTAACGTTTTGTACTCAGGTTTATTAATTGTTGTGTTACAATTCAACATTTGACACTCTTTTTAAGGTTTAAAAAATAAAAAAATAAAAATAAATAAATAAATAAAGCAAACAGTCATAATAAGGGTAATGCCAACGAAAAGGAGTCCAAAATCAACTCAAATACTAACAAGAAACAAGGTATCATGTGATTTAGGCCTCGTTTGGGAACAGACTAATTTAGTAACTTTTTGACTATTTGACTAAAATATGAACTAAAAAAAACTAATATATTTGGGATGACTTTTTGACTTTTTACGAAAAGATGTGCAAAAAGTAGAGAGAAAAGAGAATATTTGACTTTTTGATATGGGTTGTTGGCTTTTTGGCTAATTTAGTAACTTTTTGACTTTTTGGCTAAAAGAGATGGTTCCCAAACGAGGCCTTAGTCTAAGTTTGGGCTCGAAGGAAGTGGATTGGTGATGTGGGAGTCATCTAGCTGGTTCCTAACAGTTTAGGCAAGACTAAACTAAGATTATTTGAGTTTATTCCTTGAAACATCTAAGGTGCCGTTTGGTAACACTTACGTTTTCAGTTTTCGTTTATATTTACAAAAATTTTAAAAACTCAAATAAAAACTTGTTTGGTAAAATTTTTAATTTATAAATCAGTGGTCTCAGTTTATAAATTTGGCCAAAAAATGAAAACACAAAAAATGTGTTTCCGTTTTGAGTTTTGAGTTTTTTTTTTTTTTTTCCCAACACTAGAATCAAGATCTCGCACTTCCACCAAAAGAAGGGTGTCACACAATCACTAGAAATAAAATAAATAAATTAAAAAAAAAAAAAAGAACGTTGTGTTAAAAATAACCAAGACCACGTGTCACAGAATCACTAGAAATTAAAAAATTAAACTTTCCAAGTATCAGAGCCAAGTTTCGATCTTGGGACCTGTGGGTTATGGGCCCACCACGCTTCCGCTGCGCCACTCTGATTTGTTTGATATGAAGTTTCGAAAACAAATATATATACAACTATGAAAAATAAAGCACAGTTTGATCGAGCTACAAATGAAAGAAGGCACACATCTCGTTTGGCATACGAGTGTTTTAGTCAAAAAATCAAAAAATTATTAAAAAAATTAAAAAGCCTATAACTTATACCGAAAAGTCAAAAATTCTCTTTTCTCTCTACTTTTTGCACATCTTTTCGTAAAAAATCAAAAAGTCATTCTAAACATACTA